TTTTTTTTATCTTCTCAATTGTATAAAAAATGAAAACCCTTTTGGGGGAAATAAAAATTGAACTTGTGGGAGCCTCTTGTACAGATAGGTGCGCCGCCGGAGGTGGTGGCGAAGCTGGAGGAGGCGTGTGCGTCTGCGGCGGCGATGGGCGGCCGGCACGGAACAAGCAGCGTCGGGGAAGACCCGTCGCTCGACCAGTTCATGGAAGCTTACTGTGAGATGCTGATAAAATACGAGCAAGAGCTCTCTAAGCCCTTTAAGGAAGCCATGGTTTTTCTCTCGAGGATCGAAAGCCAGTTTAAGGCCCTTACACTCTCACCCTCTTCTGCTTCTGGTGACTTTTTTTTTTATTTTATTTTATTTTATTTTTTTAAATCTCTCTTTCTATCTCTATCTTTCTTGATTTTGTGTGTATTTTTTTTTGCATGTGCATGTTTTTTCCTTAGAAAAATGGAGATAAATTTTGGTTTGCTTGGTATGCATAGTGTGTGTGGTTTCTAAATGGAGTTTCTGGCATTGTTTAATGGGCTTTCTCTCTCTTCCAGATTTATTCATTCAATGTGTTCACAATTGTTCTTTTGGTAGTACTATTGTTTTGTGATTATTAATGTTTTATTTTTGTTGTTTTTGATAGGTCTCTTGTTTAGTTGAACACTTTTGGGTTTGTTTCCCTTTTGCTCTTTGGTGTGTGTGTGTGTGTGTGTGTGTGTATGTGTGTGTTTTTTCCACTGTATTGCTCGTGAATGTTCTGTGGATAAGTGAGTGTAATCTAGGATCACCTCATGAATCTAATCAAAGCATTTTTAACATGTAAAAGCTTAAAGTATTTATTTCTTTAATTTTATTTTTTATTTTTTTTAAGTTGAATGAATCTGATTATGACTTTCTCTCCGGAAGCCCTAATTCGGCTACATTGTGTTTTTTTTTCGGCCAAAAAAATGACATAACATTGTTTTATGCCTTAATCTTGGCTTTTGAAATAGGTCAAAGAAATCTGATTTTTTGATCGATCGCTAAGCTTGTGCGTGCACCGTTGATTTAGTAGATTACACGATGAGTAATTAACCATCTGAAATTGAAATTGTTTGGCCCTCATCTTTAATCCAAGGTTAAATTAATTAGCAATTTACCATTCATATTTTGTAATTTGCATGCACACAATTATAGTCACAGTTGGGGAATGAAATTAACATGTTTGCTCATATATATACTTGTTTTTTTTTTGTTTGAACGCTTTTCGATATTGGAATTAGTATTACTGTGTGTGCTTTCCTTGATTTGATTGAGTTGAGCTTTTCCTCTCCTATTTATATGTTCTCATTGGTGATATGGTTATGCTTTTTTTTTTTTTAATAATTATATTACTGTTTAATTATAATCGACAGTTTGTGCAGAAGCAATGGAAAAAAACGGCTCGTCTGAGGAAGAACTTGACGTGAACAACAATTTCATTGACCCTCAGGCCGAAGACCGTGAGCTCAAAGGTCAGCTTTTACGAAAATACAGTGGATACTTAGGAAGTCTCAAGCAGGAGTTTATGAAGAAAAGGAAGAAAGGTAAGCTGCCAAAGGAGGCTCGGCAGCAATTGCTCGACTGGTGGAGCCGGCATTACAAGTGGCCATACCCCTCTGTAAGTGTTTTACATTATTAATTCTGTTAAATTTCATTGTTATTTATTAGTCTTATAATTATGTGGTGGTCGATTTTGGAACTTCAACATCGTAGCTTTTTGAAGGTTTAAACTTGAACCAAAAATTCCATTACTTTCTGTAATTTTTAGAAATTTTTGGGGTTTTTTATTTAGCATGACACTAAAAAGCCTAGCATTGGGGGTTGCCTGTTTCTTGAGAAATTGCACCCGTCAAATCTTGTTATTTTTGTTATTCGAGTTTTTTTTTTTTCTCATTGCTCCTCGAACCCCCGAGTTTTTTCTTGTTTACTAAAACGACCCAATAATCTTTCCGAATTACAATCTTAAGCAATCCTTGAGGTTTGTCTCTTCATAACAATACAGTGTGAACTTGTTAAAGTAGAGAACCAAAATTTCCAAGAGATACCTACTTTTTGTAACTTTTGAGAAGTAGTTGGGTTGTTTTTAGCAATTTTACACTAAAGCGCCTTGTATGATTTTTTTGAATTGGTTTAATAACATTTGTTTCGATAAATGCCGGGCCTTTAAACAGGAGTCCCAGAAGCTGGCACTGGCTGAGTCAACCGGGCTCGACCAGAAGCAAATAAACAATTGGTTCATTAACCAGAGAAAACGGCACTGGAAGCCTTCGGAGGACATGCAATTTGTTGTAATGGATGCCGCGCACCAGCATTATTACATGGACAATGTTTTGGGGAACCCTTTTCCGATGGATATCTCGCCCGCGCTTCTTTGAAAAAAAAAATGAAAAGAAGAAAATGGAAAAAAAAAAAGAAAACTAGAAAAATTGGTTCTATTTGGGTATGTATGGTTAATGTGCAAGTAAAGTTCTTGAATTGTTGTTTTAATTAATGTATTGTTAAGATTGTTTGCATTGTTATTGTTTGTGTTGTGTTGTGTTGTCTTAGC